ATTATAAAATTTATACGAATATTTTTACTTAATTTATATTTCATTATAATTTTTATATCTTAATTTTAAATTTTGTAATAGAAAACATATTTTGAAGATACAATATCATGCATAATTTATTTACTTTCTAAAAATATAATATGATATATTCATTTTAATTATATAATAATTATATAAAATTATAGAAATAATGACATATAATTAAAATTATTTAAAAATCATGGTTAACTTAACAAATCAGCAAACTCATTTCTTAAGTAATTTTGCTTGAGTGATGATTTATATTTAATTAATAATAGATAATTTTCTAATTTAATTTAAATTATATAATATAAAATATATTTTCAAGATGACAACATAATACATAATAATTGCCTTATCTTCTAAAAGTATAATATTTATTCTAATTATGGAATAACTACAACTTTATAAATTTCTAATAGAAAAATATATTTTCAAGACAACAACATAATATATAAGAAGTATCTTATTTTCTAAAAATCTGATACTATTAATATAATTTTTCTAAATATATAATAAATTATATATATAAAATAATATAAATTATGATAAATTATCAAAGTTACCTAAAATCATGAAAAATATGACAAATGAGCAAACATCAAATTTACTTCGTAAATAATAGTATAGATTTTTTACATGTTAATTTTAAATTTTATAATAAAAAATATATTTTCAAGATAAAAAAAATACATAATAATTAACTTATTTTCTAAAATATCATATTATTAATATAAATTAGTTTTAATTATATAATCAATAATAAATAAATTAAAGAAATTAGGATAAATGCTCAGAATTACCTAGGATCATGGAGAAGTTGACAATCAACAAATTCACTTTTCAAATCATTGTTTTGATGATTCATATTTAATTATTAATCATATAATTTTTATATCTCAACTTTAAGTTTTATAATAGGAAAATATATTTTCAACATAACAACATAATACATAAGAATTATCTTATTTTAAAAAATTAAAAAATATTAATATCAATTCGTTTTAATTATATAATAAAAACAATTTTTATATCGTAATTTTAAATTTAAGTTTTATATATAAAAAATATAATTCAATATAATAACATAATTCATAAGAATTTTCTTATTTTCTAAAAATATGATATATTCATATATAACTTCATTTTATTTATAAATAAATTATAGATAAATATTAAAATATGGGAAATAAACAATACATAAACTTATGGAGAATATGACAACTAAGCAAATTTACTTCTTAAATAATAGTATAGATATAGCTTACAAAAGAAACAAGCATCAACAAAGAAGAGGGAGAAAAATCAGTCAGAGAATTATTACAAAGCTTCATCTAAGGAGCAAGGAGTGCACATATTTAGAAAGGGTTGCCCTACAGAAAGGCCTAATAATTTGAGCACAGAGCATTTTGTCATGATAATGTTGAGAAGTTGATGTCCAACCCTTGATGGCAAAGGAGTAAGACCGGAATGATAGTGATCATTTCACTCCTTCCAAAAAGCATATATAGATGCTTGCCATCCTAGACAACCAATTTAAGGATCATATCCATCTGATCAGAGTTTAGCCAATCAATTACATCCAACTTTCGAGAGGAAAGATCATTGGTTTGTGCAGTGTAGGATTCCTATTTAAGATGAACAGCCATGTGGTTGTGGCATAATGTGGGATAATAGTCTTATGCCAAATTAAACCTGCCCAATCTTCTGTGGAGCTCGTATGACATTCCTGATGGCTCTGTGGTTGAAAGTCTTTTGAACCGTTCCATCAATACACCATTGCAGATAATCATTTCCAGCTGACAGATAATGATCAATCAAAAAATTTTGGAGACAAACCTGATTATTTGACGAGCAGGAGGTAATAGTCAAACCTTACCACGATATGTATTAGATATTTTCCAATTGATAAGAATCACGAGACTAGACAGACCATCAGAACCAAGAAAAGTCGATTAGTGGGCCAAAAGGAGACCATGGATGCAGAAGAAACTGGAATCACTATTACGAATCCGAATATATAGGAAGCTCAACTCTTTATGTCTCAACTTTAGAACCCGCCTAAACACATGAGAAGGCCTATTTCTTTTCTTAACATTTCATTGCCATTTTTGAATTAGATTTGATAGTCATCCACTATGTATCTAAGCTCGTTATTCGATTTCCTCTTATGCATTTTCATTCAGATAATGCCTTTTTTCTAAAGATTTCTGAATTACAATTTGTTGGATATAGGTAAACTTTACACCTATATGATAGACCAAGTCCTTACAAAACTAGTTTACCAAAAAGTAAATGAAAGGAAGTTAAATAATTGATTTGAATACACTTAAATTGTGTTGAGTTGGCAAAATTTAATAACATCTACAATTCAACCATACTAAATTTAGTAGGACAAAATAAATAAATATTGATGGCCCGATATATTTATCCTCTACAATCATTGTAGGTTTAAAAGCATATATAAAAAATATTGTTTTTGGGTCAAAAGCATATATTTAAAATTATATTTCTAGAATTAATTCCGTACCTAAAAATACAAAAACAGTTTAGAAAGCATACAAGTCTTAAGGCCCACTTAGAACTGCAGTCCATACATGACTAGTCTACTTAAAAATGCCCGATTAAATGCAACTTAAATAGTTCTTTTTGATACCCTAAAGATTGTGTTGAGTTGTCAAATTTAATAACGTTTCCCCTTTCTACTTCGACTTGACCCTCAACTAATTGCCAGCCTCATCTCTCCCCTTGATTGCAATCACACATTTGCCCCTTTAACCATTATCGTTATCGCCGACTTGTTACAATACCTATTTTAGCTATATATAACACTCCGCACACAAATACACAAACACACACAGACACAAATACAAGAACAGCTAAGAAACAAAAATCTAATAAAAGAGTTTCCTCTCTCTCTCTCTCTCTCTCCACATCATAACACGAGTTCTCGGCAGATCAACTGTTTTCTTTCTTTTCTCCATATACGTGTTCGTCAATGGCGTCTTCTCACTAAACCCACTTGCCTTTTACATTGATATATTCGCACACACCCTTACACGTGTTTATTCCACTTTTGTTGGAGACTCAGCGATCGTCCGTCCATGGAGCCCGTCAATGGCGGATCGGTACAGATCCAGAACGAAAACGGATCACGACACCTTCCGAATTTCTTACAGAGCGTGAACATGAAATACGTCAAGCTCGGTTACCATTACCTCATCACACATCTCTTCAAGCTCTGTCTCGTTCCTTTAACCGCTGTCCTAATCTCAGAGATCTCACGTCTTACACCAGACGACTTTTACCAGCTTTGGCTTCATCTCCAATACAATCTCGTCTCCTTCATCCTCCTCTCCGCCTTAGCCGTGTTCGGTTCCACCGTCTTCATCATGACCCGTCCCAGATCCGTTTACCTCGTTGACTACTCCTGTTACCTCCCTCCCGAGAGTCTCCAAGTCCCTTACAAGAAGTTCATGGATCACTCCAAGCTCATTGATGATTTCAACGAGTCGTCTCTCGAGTTTCAGAGGAAGATTCTCGAGAGATCAGGTTTGGGAGAAGAGACGTATCTCCCCGAGGGTTTACATTGCATTCCTCCACGCACCACCATGTCGGCGGCGCGGGAGGAAGCTGAGCAGGTAATGTTTGGGTGTCTCGACAAACTGTTCGAGAACACCAAAGTTAACCCTAGGGATATAGGTGTCTTAGTCGTGAACTGTAGCCTTTTTAACCCCACTCCTTCGTTATCGGCCATGATTGTTAACAAGTATAAGCTTAGAGGGAATGTCAAGAGTTACAATCTCGGTGGGATGGGGTGTAGTGCTGGTGTTATCTCTATTGACTTGGCTAAAGATATGTTGCAAGTTCATAGGAAGACTTATGCCGTTGTGGTTAGCACCGAGAACATTACTCAGAACTGGTATTTTGGGAACAAGAAGGCGATGCTGATCCCCAACTGCTTGTTTCGCGTCGGCGGAACGGCGATTTTGCTTTCAAACAAGGGGAGTGATCGTCGACGGTCCAAGTACATGATGGTTCACACGGTTAGGACTCATAAAGGAGCTCATGAGAAGGCTTTCAACTGTGTTTACCAAGAACAGGACGATAACGGGAAGACTGGTGTTTCTTTGTCGAAAGATCTTATGGCTATAGCTGGAGAAGCGCTCAAGGCCAACATCACTACTTTAGGTCCTTTGGTTTTGCCTATAAGCGAGCAGATTCTGTTTTTCGCCACTCTGGTTGCGAAGAAGCTGTTTAATGCTAAGATGAAGCCTTACATCCCTGATTTCAAACTTGCCTTTGATCATTTCTGTATCCATGCTGGTGGTAGAGCTGTGATTGATGAGCTTGAGAAGAATCTGGACCTTTCGTTAAGACATGTTGAGGCGTCGAGGATGACGTTGCATAGATTTGGAAACACTTCGTCCAGCTCGATCTGGTATGAGTTGGCTTATATAGAGGCTAAAGGCAGGATGAAGAAAGGGGACAGGGTCTGGCAGATTGCTTTTGGAAGTGGGTTTAAGTGTAATAGTGCGGTTTGGGTGGCTTTGAACAATGTCAAGCCTTCGGTTAGTAGTCCGTGGGAACACTGCATTGACCGATATCCGGTTAAGCTTGACTACTAATTCAATCAGAAACCATTTATCTGGTGTCGTTGTGGTTAGTCCTACTCTACTACTTCACTCTTGTCTGCCTTATTTATTGTTTTCTGTTCTGTTTTTTTTCAGTGGTTAAGTTGTTCTTGTACTTTGAATGTGATGCTTCGTTGGTTATTACTCCCACGTTATGTTCTGTGGCATCCACCTTTTTGCATCTCTATTTGCCATACTAGTTGGAACAAGAATCATAATTTACATTGTTTGAACACTTTGTTAGACTCCAACAAAGCTTCCTTTGAAGAAAATAACCAAAGTAGGAGTTAACTTCTGGACAAACTAAGATAGGATGCTAATACAATTAAACCAAACTGAAGCATGTCAAAGTTGGACGCAAGATAGACCAACGGCATTCGAGCATTTGCACTGAGGGTCTATTTCAGATTCATCACTTGATGAGTCATAGAAAACCGGCTGCTGGATTCGGAGCGTCAGCATTCCACAGGATGACAAAGACTGTCGATTTTCTCCGAACATATAGCCTCTACATTCAGTAAAAGCATCACTGGTCTTCATGGTTTTTAATTCACACACAAAGATTCTCTCTTGTCGATACTTCGATTCATTAAACACAATGGAGTTTTCTTTCATACCGGGAAGCTCTTTCGCCGAGCAGCAGAGACTCCAGTCACAACCAAGAATCACCACTCTGTCCTCTATGTCTTTAATGCGAACCCATCTCCTCTGCCCTTCTTCTTCTTCTTCTTCTTCAAGCCTAAACAATCTAAACCAAGAGTGCTTATATTTTTCTTCACAATACATTCCTAGAGTTAATCTCTGAACCAGCAACAGCTCATCTCCTGAGACAACCAGTCTCTCATCATAAGTCTCGTGAGACAACGTGACTGGTTGGATCTCAGTAATTTTAAATGAAGGTTCGATAACGAAAACATGTCCCCGTCCACTCTTATTAACAACATAAAATTTGCCTTTGAATGAAACCATATCTTGATAATATATAAACCAACCCTTGATTATAGTCCATCCATTGTCACAGCTTCTATACATCATTAAATCCCCCAACACTCCAGCCACTACTGCAAATGCTTTATTACCATCTTCACCATCCAAAGGAAGAAACGCAACTCTCTTAGTATAATTCTCACTTCGTGTTAAATGGCGTCTACTTGCTATAGCATAGAAGTTTATCTGTATGTAAAGATTATTTTCTAGACTCATTTCATAACCAAACTAAAGTTATTCTTACAGATAAGGGTAAAGAAAGTAAGGTAAAAATAAAACTAACCTTGTAATAATAACCCAATGGGATGATTTGAGAGCTTAGAGTGTTGAGTGTGATCACATCTTTATATCTCCAAGGACTATCTTGAAAAGGGCACATCAATAACTGTTCACCTGACTCTCCTTTGGTCATTTCAATCAACAGAAAATCAGTACCAGAGGGAGTCTGGAATCTGAAGAGGAAAACTGGAATCTTTTTAAGCATGCACGGCGTATGGCTTTCAAACCGAGGCTTGTGGTTGAAAACAGGTAGAAGGCGCTTAAGGCATAATCCGAGCCTATAGCTTGGCCGAGGTATGGCTGATCGCCACGAGCTGCAGACAGAGCGGAAGTGAACAATCTCAAAGCATGTCTTAGAACGAGCATTGATTAGTTCCAGCAAGTCTTTTGGAAGCAATGACCAGTCTGCCATGGTTTAGATCCGGCTATACGGAAGTAGCAGAAACTTGAGATCTTAAGATGAGATGTAAGTTGGAGAAGAAGTCTTTGTTTATGTTCTGTTTTTGGTTGTTGCTTTTATTTGTTATTTCAGCCAATGAAAGAAGTCACAGTCAAGGCTGTTGCAAAAGGCTACAATTTTCTAATGATCTTTTTTGACACTCACATATTTGCTATATAATATAGAGACTAGAGAGCCTTCGCATGGAATCCCGTCTTTGGCATATCCGTTTTTCTCCTTTAACTATTTAAAACTACAAGGAAAAAGTGATCTGCAATGGAAAACATGACGTCATGTACTATCAAATCTTGGTGAAAAATTTGGAAGGAGCAGCCTTGAATTGATTCTCTCAATTGGAAGCTCACTCCATTGACAATTTCAATCAACTGTCCACGGTGTTCATGAAGCACTATTCTACGTTCATATAGAAGGAGTTTCTAATACCCACCTAATGACAATATCTTAGAAAATAAAGGAGTCACTATGTTCCTTTGTTGAGAGGTTTAAATCTGTCCTCCCCAACATTTTCGTGGACGACAAAGCAGACCTCAGGAATGTCTTATGACATGAGTCACGTCTCCACAATGACCTCATGCTTGACCATCTTGTCACCCTCGAAGATGCTCTTCAATCTTCATCGAATTTCAAGATACATGGAAATGAAAGAAGAAAAGAAAGCCTTCGTTAGAAAGAAGACCCAAGGATAGATTCTGTGAAGAAGATGATGAGCAGTAAAGGACATAGAGGAGACAAGAGCTTAGAGCATCATCATCGCTGACTCTTATGGCAGCTCTAAGGTGATGGGACCCAGATTTTTTTTAAAACTTTCTCTTCTCTCTTCTTCAGCAAGAGACAACTCTTGTGCCAATTCGCGGGCCCCACGACACATGGCGGCCCACGATTGGTTCTTTTTTTTTTGTTTTTTTTTGAAACTGACAATAAAAAAAAAACAAAAAAACAAAAAAAACAAAAATCTTAAGAGTGTTCTAAGCGATGATGATGCTCTTAGTATGACGACAAGTATCTCAATAATGCCAAAGACAAAAGAGAAAAAAAAAGTATCTCTGCTCAGATGTTTTTAAAAGGGTTTCAAGCCAAATGTCATTATCTAGTTGGTTCAAATTAAATAAATAAAATAAAAATTAACTTTAAACAAAAAGAAAACCTGATAAAATAAGTTTGACCGTTGACTAAGCCAAATGAATATTATGTGATCTCGATTAGAATGTGTTGATTTCACGTTTATAATGGACTAGTACTAAGAGCATGTTTATCAGCTTATCTTTTAACCTAGATTTCTTAATTTTTTTTTTTTGTTTTTTTTTAAACTTTCTCTTGACCGATTAAAAAAATAATAAAAAAATACCAATCACGATTGCCATTTGTCGTAAGCCCGCAAAACAGTCTAAGAAACAAAATGAAAACTTTCCTTCTATTGCATACACAAACTACGTTTCTTGTGACTTTCGTGAGATCCGCGAATTTTCAATTATGTTTTTGACTATGAAACCAAGGGTAAGCAACCCTTTAAATATGCTCTAATGGAAACCCAAAGCTAAGAGAAATTCTAACATAAAGATGGAAAAAAGATTCTCAACAATTAAATTAAAAAAAAAACTAACAAAATTAAGAAAGAGAACATACAAAAGTTCTAATGTAGTGATTTTTAGTATCCGTTCTAAGCTCCAAAATACAGCAGTCAACTACACAATGTTTCAACTAGTTTTGAGAAGCTAAAAATCTTATGATATATATGTTTTTTTCTTTTAGAAACTCACACAAGTATCAGGTGATAATGCTGCTCTAAGAATGCAAAACAAAGATGTGAAGCCATGAATGAGAGCAGAACAAAGCCAGATCTGACACAGTTTCCAAACTTTTGAAGAGTTTTTTACATAATTATGGACCCTTAAATTGTGGAAACAAATTGTATTAAAGTATTTATTAGATAGTTTCAGGTCCTCAAAATCTTAGATCTGAAATTTTAATAAAGCTGTCGTGTTACACGCACGATCACCTCACACTGAAGTAGTTATTAGAGAAAAATATTACTTTGTTAATATAGAATATTTCCTTTATACGTCTATTCTATTTAAACTGAAATACATTTAGAAATTAACCTTTATTTTTATTTTAATATTACGCTTTATGTCATTGGTCTTATTATTTTTATTAAACATCATTAAATACCAAATCTAAATCAATTAAAACAAAAAAAAAATCTTAACTTTCCTTCAGCAACTATAACCCAGTTATCTCTTTACTGCCGACATAAATTTTCATATATTCATAATGTGGTTTACATCTATAATAATCCAATTTTGTGAACCGAGAACATAAAATTGACGTAGATTACCCATGTTCGAAAATTAAGATCATCACTAACCAAGTCCGCATGAACTTAGCAGTATCAAAGACAAAGTCTCTAAAACCGAGTACATAAGCTTAAAATTATACATTACATGTTTAAAAGCATTAAGATCATCACTTTCAAGGAATTGTTTTCATCTCTAACCGTAAATCAAACCCAAATCATGGAATATGTGTTTAAATTCATTTCATCCAACTATGAACATGTGTTCCTGTTTTTTTTTGATCAAAGTGTTTAATTCTTTGTTTATAGTATTTCTTAGGGAACCCGTAATTCCTATCAGCTCTTATTTTTAAGCGGTCACATTAACCAAAATGATACTAATTTTTCAAACAAAATAGGTATTTAAAACAGACATAGAATATTCATTTCCTATAAACTATTAAATAACTTGGAAATATAGCAATCTTTTCATTAATTTCCATTCCTTCAAAAAAAAAAAAAACAAATACTATTCCACATACCGATTTATACTATAAACCAATATTTTTAAAACCGGACCAGCAACTAAACCGGTAATGTTTCGGATGATGGATCAATATGGTTTGACCAGAGCTGAGTCTGAGCCCATTTTTTGAAACATTTGAATGGCCCCAACAATTGAAGAGTCCCCAATTTTTTTTTAACAAACTTTTTTATGAGTAAAACCTATTAGTTTTTAATGTAATATATAACAAACATAACTTTCTTAAAAATATATATGATAGTTAAATATAAATGAAATATAAATGAATATAATATAATATTAAATAAGATATGTACAATAAATTTATTTTAAGTATTAACTTGATTATAAAAAATGTAAAAGTAAAAAAAAAATTGGTATGGTGCCCCAAATTTTACAGGCCCCGCCCTAGGTTTGACCATGTTTAATTGAATTTAATGAAATTAATTTAACGATATCTGTAAATAATATACATATTATTTAAAAGTGTCTTATCAAATAAAATGTTTTAGTTACCAAAATGTTTTAAGAAACTTAAAAAGAACAAACTGAAACTGTAATAAAAATTATAAATAATTTAACAGTTCACATCTAAAATCAATACGAAAAACAAATTTAATTCATTCTCTAAGTCTTCATCACTCCAAATCTTTTTCACATTTTAAAAAAATCATGTAAACTAAGTTTTTATTTGCTCGTGTAGTGAGAAGCAATATTAAGTACAATGCTTTGTCATTTTATACAAATTTAATATTTCATGAATGTTAACGTTCCAATTATTAAAGTATTCAACACAAATGATATCTCCTATATATTATGTGCGAAATGATTTACCACATGCTACTAAGATTGATGACATAACTTATATTTAAATATGACATAGATAATTACATTTTTTGCTGATATATATATAGATATATATATATATATATATATATATATATATATATATATATATATATATATATATATATATATATATATATATATATATTGGTAAACTTTATAGAGTGTGACTGATACATTATATTTAATGTTGCTTTATATTTTTGGTAAAATTCTTAAAATATGGTAATAATTCATAAATCAAATCATCACTAAAAATAAATATATTAAAAGATACACTATAAATTTTGAAACTTTATTTAATTTTATAATTATAAAAATTTTATTACTAATATTTTCAAAATTTTCTACATCTTAAAAAATTAATAAATTTTTAATCCTAATATCATTAGTTTCTTTTAGATTAGACAAATTGTATAAATATTGTTTAGTTGTAATTTTTAATAACTATACAATTTTATATAAATTTTCTTAGTAATTTTATACAAGTTGATTTAATATACTTTAAGCAAAATAAATATATAAAAAATTATAATATTCGAATTTTAAATATATTACATGTATATTATTAAATATAATTTAAAATAAAAAAATCATTTTTCTTAATTTTGAGCTTAATTAAATCAAATTTATTTTAAATATTAGTCAAAATAATAAAATACATAATATTAATAATTTGCATTTTAAATATAATTTAACTTTTAAAAATTTATCACTGCAAATATTCAAAAACAGTATAATATTTTCTAAAAAACTGAAAAATATATATAATGAAAATGATTGGTTAGATTGTAGTTGTAGAAATTTTGATGTAAAATTTTGTTCATAAATTTTTTTGATGTGGTTGTATCAGGGGTGGAGGCAGCGAAAACTTTTGTTGGGGGCATAACTGAAGTTGGTTAGAATATTAAGAGTCAAATTACTAAAACTAAAAATACATAACATAAATTATTCAAAGTTTTACATGTTACTTTGGAAAACCATGGGGGGAGGGGGCAAATGCCCTATCCTTATCTCATGTGGCTCCGCCACTAAGTTGTAACTAAATAAAAGGAAAATATATTCATACAATCATATATTTTTGTTTTTGGCAAAACATGGTTCTTACCTCCATTTTTAATTACAAAAGAAAAAAAAATAAAAATTGGAAATTGCCAAAAAAAGTTACAGAGACATAAAAACGACGGCGTAACAGTTAGACCATCTCCAACAATGCATCTAAGAGGGTTCTATATCACACTTCTAAGTAATTAAAGGTTCAAAAATAATCAGAAATAAAAAACAAATTTGTTCCCAGTTGTTCTCTCTCTC